GTACAATGTAAGATTAAATAAAAGTGATTAGAAGTGAATGAGGTGTCACTGTTTCTTGTAGTGACTCAGTTTTTGTATAATCTATTATATTTTAGCTCTAAATAAAGTTAACTAAGTTGTAGTGTGTGTAATACATTGCTTTTTTGAGAAACGGCCTCAACAATACTGGTGATGTTCTGATTTAAAAACTAGCAAACGCATTTTCTTTATATAAAATAGTTTTTGTATTTTTACATTGTTTCCCTCAGGGAGTGGAATGTAGAGAGGCTTCAAGTAACAGCCCAGAAGGTGCTCCCTCATCCATCGTTTGTGTACAGTGCTCGGTACCATCCTACAGCCCAGAACCTGGTGGTAACTGGGGGCTACGACTGCCTGATACGAGTGTGGAGAGTTGATGTCGGTGATGTGAATGGCCAGCTGCTGCAGGAGTTTGAGGGTCACGGCAGTTTCATTAACACAGTTTGCTTTGACTCCGAAGGTACTGTAAGCCCTGTTATGGAAACATGTCCCCGATGTGTGTGTGTTTGTGTTGTCAGCTACTCTGTGAGTTAGGAAAACTTGGAACAAAATAAGAGTAAATGTAGTCTCTTAAAGAATGATGTCTCTTGTATATGTTTTAATAAATCTTGTTATTAATAGCTGTAAATAAAATGGTGGTTAATGTGAACTTTATGTATAGCTCTGCTTTTATAAGTCCACTGGCTCCAATTTTTCCCCAAACATTCCTGCCAGTATAACCTTTATGCCAGACTGACTGATTTGCTTTGACTTGCCTTGGACTATTTTTTTTCTATTATTAGAGAGAGTAACTGAGATTTAAATTTGTCTTAGACTGTTTACGGTCACTGTCATTTACTTCAAGGCCCAGTTCAGAGAGAAGGAAAGCTGCTCTCTTTAAAGCAAAGAAAGACTCAAAGCCAGCCAACTAATTCTGGTTTTGTGTCTATGAGGCACATGTGTGCCTTTCTGTGAAGGGGTGTTGTGTTTGGTTTTGCTACTCTTTTATAATGAATGTGAGGCTTGTTCTCTTGTATATCTTATGCCATATCTGATGTTGTTTTCATTGTAAATAGGTCGACGAATGTTTTCTGGAGACAACATGGGCCTCATCATTGTGTGGAAAACCTCAGTAAATGACAGCAGGCAGCGGCAGCAGCCATGTCGCCACTGGTGTATAGAGAGGGTACAAGAATTGATACTATTCAATGCACTTTATTTAGCTAATGTTAGTTTATGGTCATTTTAAAATCCTATGTTTTCTTTTGGCAGAAAATTGATGAGAGTGATCTCAGTGGTATCCCCATCAACATGCTGCAGCTCCATCCGAATGGGCGGTGCCTGCTCATACATGCCAAAGACAGTGTGCTGAGGATGATGGATTTGAGAATGTAAGACGAAATTATAATAAAGCAAAGACAAATATTAAAGTATTGTATTATACTCTGCATATAAATGAGGAGTGATTATTATATTATTGTATGTGTGTTTGAATATGTGTTTGGCTTTCCCTCTTTAAGTCTGGCTGTAAAGAAATACACTGGAGCCATTAACTACAGAGAGAGGATTTACAGTACTTTTACACCATGTGGGAACTTCATCTTTTCTGGCAGTGAGGATGGGATGGCGTATGTCTGGAATACTGATACAGGTGAGCATGAAATTTTTATTTTTTCCCATAACAAAGACACTAGTCGGTTCTTAATGTTTTTGACAGTATTCTGCATAGTTGCTCCAGCCGTTTCTTTTCCCAGGTGATCAAGTTGCAGTATATTCAGAGCTTTGTTACCCCACGGCTCTCCACGGCGTGTCATTTCACCCCTACGAGAACATGGTAGCTTTCTGTGCCTTCGGTCAGAGCCAGCCTGTCCACGTGTACCTGTATGACCGCAAAGGTTTGTGTTTTGTTTGACAAAAGAAGAAGTTAGTCAGTAGTATTGTACAGACTTGCACGGCTTCATTTCTGCCTTATTTTTCTCTTATTTTTTCTAGTTTCCCAGATGGAGGTGCACAGTATGAAAGCAGCAAGCAGATCAGCTTCTGAAGATATCAAAACTGTTTTAAACACACCTGACCCTCTAGCTTTGCAGGACACATCTATTTCTGCAGCCATGGATCAGTTTGCCCAAGCAACAAGACTTGCACTGAAAATGCAGTGTGTGAAGGAACAACTGGACTCAGTTCTGGTAAATGCTCATGTTAATTTTTAAATGTAGAGTGAAATAAGTGTGCAGTTAAATTAACTGAAATTCTTTTACATATTTTTTTCAGGAACCACGTCAAAGATCTTCTGCTACTGGATTCATTTATGAGCAAGGTACTCTAAGCAGTTTAGATGAGAAGGACTTTATATAATTAGCTATATTAGATTTGGTATTTTAACCTATTTTTCTGGTTTGCAGATAAATTAAGCAGTACTCACACAGGCCGGAGCTTCACATCAGATGTCGGCACAGTGAGTTTTTATCAGTACTATATCAAAATACACACCTTTATATACTGAAGCATTGCTGAGGTCACAGATGGTGAACAAGCTTTATGAGTCTTTTCTGTCAATATTGATTTTGTTTTCTGTAATCTGCCTCCAATCACTTTATTGTTCAGTTGCCCTCAATGTGTTGAGAAGGGAAACAGCATAGAACCGGGTTTATATACTTTAATTGTAAACTCAGCCATTTTTCCCCTTTGTGTAATATGCTAATCCCGCTCTGTGTTAATTTATGTTTTCATATTTCAAAGAAATGTTTAAATTTCTATTTAACCTTGATTTTAAATCTGTGTTCCTGACAGTGAGAATTGTATTAGAGGGTTTACATGAAATACACAAATGTGAATTTTACTTTTATTATAATACAAAACAGAAAATTGCATTAATTGATTTATTGCACCTTAATGCTGTTATGTATTTATTTATTTCTTTTATTTACAGACAGGATTAAATGCCTCACTCCCACCTCCATCTCTCCTGTCACCACACTCCAGACTGAAGCTCACTGGTGCTCTGGCAGAGCAGCTTATCCCACAGGCTTCTCTGAGCACTCAGCCCCGTAAGTGGCTTTTTTCAGTTAATCACACAGTTATTTGTCTTTAACCAGTGGAGCTGTGTAACTGAATTCAAATGATTATGAAGATTATAACTGTGCTACGTACAACTCGGGCCAAGTCTTTTCAGCACTGTGCAGCATGTATGCTATGAACAGAAACACAGATGGACTGCTGGCAATTGTTACCCATCTCTTGAAGTGACTACTGCAAATTGCAGTTACTACAGTAATGTATAATATTTACCGTGGTAATACATAAAATATTACTGCAGTTTCAATTCTTGATGTTTTTTCTTATACTTTTAGGTGGGTTCAGTCCTGTCGGTCATTTTCTAAAAGGTGCTTCGTCTTTTAGACTACAGACGGTAAGATTTTGTAATGTTTCCAATTAATCTTAATGCTGCTGAGATAGGCAAGGACTGCAGTGGTGTCTGCCTGCTTGTTGCTATAAGAATGAAATTATTTCCTTTTTTCCATGTCAGACTCTTCTTGACCACGTCTCTTCAGGGATCCACGTGGAAACCGATTCTGCACCTGTTCAGCAAGTAGTAAGTATCCAGTGTAATTTAAAGCTCAGCCGCAGCCTTATTTCACACTTATTCAACTGTCCTACCTTTCTGTTCCATTCATAGGTTGTTTCTCTTTATGATTACAAAGCAAATCGCTCTGATGAATTGACCATTCGCCGTGGTGATGTCATCCAAGTACTGTACAAAGACAACGAGAACTGGTGGTTTGGACGCCTTGAAAATGGGCAGCAGGGATATTTTCTTGCTTCTTACGTAGCAGATCAGAGTAGGTGGATTATCTTTTCTTGTGGTAGATATGCTTTGAAAAAATTGTTTATAAAAATGATAAAAACATGTTATTGTTGTAGGAGATTACAATGAAGAGGGGACTCACATGCCTTTGTCTAAAGAGCCTGATGAGAGGTCAACACCTACTAGGGTAAGAGAACAAAAAAATCAGAGTGGCGTCTGACTGGGACGTGTTCATTAATGTATTTTGGCTAAAAGGTGAAGTGGGGGTGGAGTTCACATCTCATTAATGAATCTTTTTATACCCACTGTAGGCCTTTTGTCAAAAAAATTGTCAGCTTGATTTCATGTCAGCAACAAAAAAGAAGAGAAGACTGAAAAATATCAATATATTGCTCTGTGGTTCCTGGTTCTCCTTTTACATACTACAGCTACAACAATATTTTGAACAGCAGTGGTCTTTGTCATTCCACCTTTTGTGCATGAAAATAAGAGATTTGGAACAAAATATCAGTTTCTGTATTTTTCAGTCTTCTGATGCAAATCTAGCTGTAGCTACAACTTCCATGTTCTGCTGTAAGCAGCTATTTTGGCGAAACTATGACAAACCGTGAGTCATTTTAAAGCCTACAGTGGGCAAGTGTCACTTTGATTGCTTTTCATTTCATAAATTCACAAATGTGGTCTGGTTTTATATATGCGTGATTTTCCTGTTCCCATGGGCCATCACTTTTTTCTTTATACTCGTATCTCCAAGGTGTCTGCTGCCATTAGTTCTTCTGGAGAACTTAGGTTTCTTTCCGAGCCGACGCTTTCCGACACGGAACCTGAGATGGCAGTTACTAGGTAAGTGGCTCTTTTTGCTTCACTCCGAACTACTCCTAACTACACAGGCTGATGAAGCTGTATTGTGGTGGAGAGATATTAAGTGCTGATTGTGAAATACGTTTCCCACATAGAAGTAGAAGAAAAAAGAAGGTGAAAAAGCCACGAGTCCCTGCAGCTTCCTCTCAAGCCACGTTTTCAGATGCAGACGCATCAGCGTCGACCAGTAGCACCAGGAGGATAGGCAGATCAGCAGGGCGACCTCTGCCAAAGAGGCCAACAGACAATACAAACAGTGCCTTTGAGCCTGATCCATAAACTCATGGAAACAAACAGCAACTGTATGTCTGCTTTATTCTGATTTTTATTTCAGCTGTGATCTATTTTTCACTTTTTGTTGTTTGTAAATATTTTTTTAGTTTTGCAAAGTCACAGTTTATATTGTACCTAATACAGATTAAATTTGTTAAATATGTTTATAAAAATATTGTAATTGTATAATGCTGATAAACATATTTTTTGTACTTTATAATAAGCAGTCTTTGCAGTCCCTTACATTGTCACATTTGAATGCTAATGTACAAAATATTTGTGAAAAAACCTCAATATCAGTGTTAAATAAATCTATAATGCAGGCAGAAAAGAAGGTAAAACATTCAACATTTCTAACTGCAGTGAAATCTGCAATAAATTCCCTGTTTGAAGAATTAGCACAGTATGAAAGGTTCATATTGACCTGTATAACTTGCACTGCTTTACTTTTAAGCCATTGGCCATAAAAACTCATTCTTACTAACCAAACTGTGGGTGGCTGGTGTTATTGTGTGAGTCATCATGGCAGTGTTGGAAAAACTATTACAAGGCAGTGTAAAGTACTTTGGCAGGTGTTTGTGGATACCTGCATGGGATCCTAACTTAGTGTTTAAATTTTAATGTGCATGTTGCTCCCCAAATAAATGCTCAAATATATCTGGGAACCTGTTGGGAATGCAGCTGGACCCACTCCATGAATGTATCTAGCTTTTTTCTTAAAATACCTCTCAGGGAATTCCCACTATAGCACATGCCTTAACTAGGACCAGATAAAAATAACTAAAAGACACAACATTAAAACAATATCAGCTTGATAACAAATAATGACTGATAAGTTGTTTAAAAAGTTGTGTAACTTGGAGCTGGAACACAGGATCATAGGAGAGGGGTTCTTTCATCTGCTTGTTGGTTGTTTTCTTGGACCCTGAAATGTAAAAGTTAAAAAAAGAGGTACAATTTTTGCTGTTGTTGCAGACGTTAAAAAAAGAAATCTATTTAGAATAAATCACAGATCTTGAGGTTATACATGTATAACCTCTGAGTAGCACAAATGAGTGTCCCAATATGGGAACGCCTCCTGTAGAACCTCATCAGAAGCTCAAATGCCACCTGCCTATGTCAGGAGGGGCCATGGCCTCCATATATAATAGGCTGAAATAGTGTCACATGTCATTCAAAACAAGCCCACCTTTTCATTTTTTATAGAGAGAATGGTCTGGTGAGACACTCATGCTACTTGGAGAACCAGGGTTATATACATAACCTTAAGTTCTTTTTCAAAGCATTTGTTTGGTGAACAAAGAACCTGTACTGAGAACTGAATGCGCTAGGTTAGGCGCTGTCACATCTAGCTTATAAAACCTAACAAATGTGTGAGATGAGGCCCAGCATGGAGTTGCACACACCTCCTGGATAAAACTCCCTTAGAGCCTATAAGGTAGCCAGGCCCCTAGTGGAATGTGCATGGAGGCCAGCTGGTAAAAGTCAGGCAATACTATTGGGGAACATGTACTGATAACCTTTGGGATGAAGATGAGGTCAAGATGGGCTGGAAAGCAGCTAAAAAAATCTCAGCCAGTAAATGTTTCTCTTCCCAGCACAGGGCTGTCAGGAGGGCCACTGGTGGAAAAGTATAGCGGAGGGTTGAAGCCTCTAGTCTGCGTTCAGTGGGTTGCCCCTGGACAGAAAATCTGCTGCAAGGACAGTGGACAGTTTAGCTTAAACCCAACAGCACAGTTATCGACAGACTTCTGTAAGAAGTGAGAAGAGTTTTTGAATGACATCTGACACTATGTCAGTCTATTATATGGGGAGGCCCTAGCCCCTCCTGACATGAGCATCACTTAAAAAGCCTGTAAGAGCTAACGTAATGGCATTTCAGCTTCTGATGAGGTCACATAGAAGGCGTTCCCATAGTGAGAAACGAAATGAATACTATCAAAGAACTTATTATGTTCATTTAAAGTTTAGGCCTACCTTTGTCGTTTTGTCCGTTGACAGAGAGAATACATGAAGATGAGAAATGCCTGAGGACAGAGTGATCATTAACATTGTATTGACATAAAATATCTAAACGCTGCAGCCACTGATACTTACACCCAAAAATGCCAACGCTCCTTGAACTACAGCAGCCCATTCAAAGCCGAGCTGTTGAACAATAATTCCTCCCACAATGGGGCCATAAAACGTCCTTAAAAACGAGCACAAAATTAGAGCAAAAATCATGGCACTAAAAAGCTAAATGCCAGAAAAGAGATAAATTAGGGACTCACCCAGTGCACCACACTGCTTCATATAACCCAGACACCATTCCAAGTGTACTTAGCCCCTCTTCAAATCCTATTTCACTACAAGGAAAAACTAAATTGTAGAATATTTGTTTCATCCAGCCATATTTATGAAAAAAAAAAACCCCACAAAAAACAAATTGTAGTTCATGAATGTTGAGCATTATGTGAAGCAACTCACTGTGCACATGAAATGAGCTCAGGGAATATGGAGATTACACTTATTGCCAGAGAAAGCCCAATTAGACCAAGCATGACGACCAGCAACCACAGCTGACTAAATGTAAAAAAACAAACAAAAAAAGGATACAGAAGTTTGGCTTTTTAAGGCAAAGGGATTAATTCAGTATATGACTTGTCGAGGCAACATGTCCCACTCCCCTTGCAGCGGTGTAGATTTTAAATACCAGGGCTTAACCATCCAAAGTAACCGACCTATGTGTCAATGATAGGAAGACAGACATAATAGTGAAGTTGCCAAGAGCAGAGGCAGTGAAGGTGAATGAATTTAAATACCTGGATTCAACCATCCAAAGCAATGCACAATGAAGAAGAGAGTACAGACAGGAAGGAGTGGTGGAAAAGAGTTTTAGGGGGTGATTTGTGACAGAAGGAGAGCAGTGAGAAGCACTGACCAATACTCAGAACAATGGCAAGTCCAAGGAACTCAGTGACAATCTAACAAGGAGAGTTGAAGATTTACACAAGGTGGAAAGGTCTCTTATCAAAATATGTCACCACTTTGCCAAGGTCTGGAAGAAGACCCAAACTGTCACCTTTAGTTGAGAGGAAATTGGTTAGGATGTTCATGAACAGCCCAGGAACCAAGGCTCAAACATGCCATTAACTAGAAACTCCTGAAACACCAGCATCTGCGGTGAAACAAGTTTTAAATCACCTAGAAAGAAGCTCGTGCTCCAAAATCAACACCTTCAAAATATTGGTCAAATATGCAACTTGAAATATGCCTAAAGCTTGTTGATGGCTGCCAAAAGTGTCTGGTCAAGGTGCCAGTTATTCTGGGACATGTAACCAATATTAAACTTAAACCTGGAAATTGAGACCCTAAAGTAATTAGCACAATATTTAGTGTTATATAATAACATTTAAAGTAGAGTTAATTCCTCACAATGGGCTTTCTTTTTTGCTACCACAGGAGTCGCTCCCTGCTAGCCGTGAAAAATATTAAGGGTTTAAGACACTTATTCACAGTGTGACTGTTACCTGGCAGGTGCAATTATTTCCTGGAATTAGACATTGTAAAAATGACGTTAGATATGACTCTTGGCTCAGAGGGGGTGTTAATGGAAAATTGTATTTAGTAGTCAGTATAATCTTTTAGTGATATAAGTTTGCATATGGTAGAATACTGCATGTAGTTATTTGTATTAGGAAATATTCAACCATGTATACTTAGAGGCATATAATTAATTGTGTGTGATCTTTAACAGGCTGCAAAGGCTTGGTGTATT